ACCCCAAATTATATTTTAGAAAATAAGAAAGATCGGAAATTAACATAGTGTTTAAGTTAAATAGTAACTTAAGTTAGTATTAAATAGTAAGTATTTAAATTAAACATGGTATTTAAGTTAAATAGTAACTTAAGTTAGTATTAAATAGTAAGCATTTAAATTAAAAACTTTTTTAAAAAAGGAGTAACATTAAACTCAACAAAAGTATGAGAGGTTAATAAAAATAAATACAGAAATTATATATATTTAAAAAGAAACAGATATGATCAACAAAAGCTGAGCTATACATCAAACCTCTATAGGTTTATCTAATAATATAGATAAATCTCTGTTCAGACAAAGGAAAAAATACAGAATTCCCAAATATATCAGGAATGAAAAGTAGGATATAACTACAGAGACTGTAGAGAATTTATTTTTAAGGTTTTATTTGTGTGAGAGAGAGCACAAGCAGGGGGAGAGGCAGACAGAGGGAGAAGTAGGCTCCCCACTGAGCAAGGAGCCCAATCCGGGACTCGATCCCAGAACCCTGAGATAACGACCTGAGACAAAGGCAGGCACTTAAGCGACTGAGCCACCCAGGTGTCCCGAGAATTTTTAAATAAGAGAAGGCTATGAACCATATTCCAACATTTTGAAGACTTAAATATAGTATCTAATTTTTATTTCTTTTTTAAAAAGTTTTATTTTAGAGAAAGAGAGTGTGCATGGGGTGGAGGGGCAGAGGGAGAGAGAGAAACTTAAGCAGACTCCCTGCTGAGCATAGAGCCCAGACACCAGGCTGGATCTCACAACCCTGAGACCATGACTTGAGCCAAAATCAAGAATCAGACACTCAACCGACTGAGCCATCCAGGCAGCCCCCTACTATCTAATTTTTAAAGAAATGTGTGAATTATCAAAATTGACTCAAGAAGAAATTGTAACTCAAATAAATTAACAACCATTAGACAAATTGAACTGAATTTTTAAAATATGGTTTCACAGATGAGCCTTTACCAAATAATCAAGGAACAAATAATACCTACCTCATATAAACTGTTACAGAAAATAGAAAAAAGGGTTATTTCCAAATGCATTTTATGAGGGTAATACAACCCTGATACCAAATGTGGACAAAGGCAGTGCAAGAAAAGGAAATTATAAGCCCAAATCACAAGCATGATGCTAAAATAAAAAAAGCGCTCATAAATTGCGTGAAGCAGTGTATTTAAGAAATAATAGTACATTTGGCAAAACCAGGTATATCTCAGAGAATGCAAGGATAGGTCCATATTTGAAAAAGCTATCGGTGACCCATTACATTAACATAACAAAGACAAAACCTATAATCATCTTAGTAGTTTTAGAAAAAGCCATTTAATAAAATTTAGTATTCATTGCATGGTTTTAAAATATTCCTACTTTAAACTCAGCTGGGATAGAAGGGAACTCCTTCACCAGATAAAGGGTTTCTATTAAAAACTTACAACAACAAATATCATGAATAATAATGGCACATTAGAAATATTCTCAATGAGGGAAGCCTGGGTGGTTCAGTCGGTTAAGCACCTGCCTTCGGCTCAGGTCATGATCCCAGGGTTCTGCAAACAGGTCCCACATCAGGCTCCTTGCTCAGCGGGGAGCCTGCTTTTCCCTCTGCCTGCCACTCCCCCTGCTTGTGCTATCTCTGACAAATAAATAAATAGTCTTTAAAAAAAAGAAATATTCTTGATGAGATAGAAACAGGAAAACAATCTTGCTCTCACCCTTACTATCTGATGTTATATTGGAGGTCCTAGCCCATCCAATGAGATAAGGGGACCGGTATTAAGAGCGTGATTTACAGATGATATGATTAGCTATATAAAAATACAAGAGAATATGCAAATAAACCATTTAACTAATAAGGATAAGGAAGTTCACTAAACAAGATTATTCCAAAATCAATATTTTCAAACAGCATCAATAGCCAACTAAAAAATTTAAAAAGGATCCCACTTATAATAGCAACAAAAGCTGTAATATACCTAGGAATAAATCTAACAGAGGTGCAAGAATTTTTATAAATAAACTATGAAATGTTATTGAAGGATATGAAGAAACCAGAGTGATATTAATGTATTAGATGACTCAATTTTATAAAGATATCATATCTCCCAAAATTTAAATTGTGCATGTATAAATTTAACTTAGCAAAATACCAAAAAAAGGTTTTTTTTTTTTAAGATTTTATTTATTCTTTTGACAGAGACAAAGTGAGAGAAGGAACACAAGGAGGGGGAGTAGGAGAGGGAGAAGCAGGCTTCCCGCTGAGCGGGGAGCCCAATGTGGGGCTCGATCCCAGGACCCTGGGATCACGACCTGAGCCGAAGGCAGACGCTTAACAACTGAGCCACTCAGGCGCCCCCCAAAAAGGTTTTTCAATAGAAGTTGACAAACTGATGCTAAAGTTAGTATGGAAGAATAGAAATCCCAAAATAGCCAGTACAGTTTAAAAAATGAACAAAATGGTGGGGGGGGCCCTCCTAGACATGAAGACTTACTATAAAGCCATAATAATTAAAACAGTGTGGTATTGGCTCAGAATGGGTTTGATCAATGGAAAAGGACAAAGTAGGAACATATCCATGAATACATGAAATTTAATTTTCATCATGGTGGCATTACACATTAATGGGGGAATTAAAGACTGTCCAGTAAAGCAGGTCAGGACAACAGGTTTTCCATATTGGGGAAGGAGGAGAGTAAAATTAAATTTCTAATTTATACTATTCAAAAAATAAGTCCCAGGGAATTTATTTTATAAGTGTCGAGAGCAAAACTTCAAAACGTTAAGAAAAAAAAAAAGGCTATCTTCATGGTATCAGGAATGGAGAGAGTTCTTCTATAACACACAAATGACACAAACTATAAAGAGATCAAGGAATATGACCACATTTTACATTTTCTATAGTATAAAAGACATCAAAAGCCGTCAGAAGAGAAGCCACAGACTGAGACAATATGATGTGTATATGGACGCACTCCTATAAAACAAGAAGGAAAAAAATGAAAACATACACAGCCCATTGGAAATGGATGAGGTCTGTAAAAAATCAAATCACAGACTTGAAATCTTAATAGCCAATCAATATATGAAGAAGTGCTCAACCTTATTAGTAGTGAGGGAAATGCAAATAAAACAGGAAGATACTGGGGTTTGAAAAAGTCAAATTGTCAGAAATGAGAAAATTTTGAATCTAGAAAGTGGTGAAGTTCATGTGAGGGAGACAACTCTCATCCACTACTGGTGGATGTGTAAATTGAAGAACCATTTGGCACTCTCTAATAAGACTGAACATGTGCATGTAGCCTAGCAATTCCCCATCTAGGCAGATTCAGAGAGAAATTCTCACATATATGCAAGGGACACATGTACACGCATGTTCCTATTAGCATTGCCCCAAATATTGGCAGCAGCTTAAATATTCATCAATAGGGCAATGAATAAACAAGGCACATTTATATGCATGGATCTACAATATAGCAATTAAAATGAATGAACTGATTTATATTTATCAACATGGAGAGAAAGAATACAAACATACCAAGAAGGGAAAAAAAAACAAGTCAGAATATGTACAGTCTAACACCACACATATACATTTTAAAAAATAAAACAATATTCTGTATTTTTATGGGTTCATGTATAGTAAAAGCATAAAACCTAGATGGGAAAGTTACATACTAAATTCATGATAGTGTTTGCCTTTGGAGAAAAAGGTGAAGAATGGATTTGGGGAGGAGTACAAAGGGACTTCAGTTTTATCAGAAATCTTAAATAGTTCAATTAAAAAAAAAAACCTGCAGCAGATCTGGCAAAATGTTAACATTCACCAATTATATGATAGGTACGTGGATGCTTGTGATATTGTCTGTGCATTTTTAAATATCTTTACCTTTTTTCCCAAATAATAAAATTAAAAGCAGCTAGTAAAGAATTCTGATAGAAATTTCACCTGTGTAGATAAATTGAGTCAATTGTTTAAAATTCTGAGGCAAAGAACTTTATAATTACCTGTCTTAGAATGGAATCTCCATAAAAATAATATAGCTGGTAATATTAATAAAACTACTGAAAGGAATAAAGCAGATTCTATAGGTATCAACATGGATAGTTGTCAAAATCATATTGAGGAGAAAAAGTAAGTTGCAAAATGACATGTACACTAGTGTACTATTTATAAAGAAAATTTAAAATACTCAAGCATGGGTATACATATTTACATATAAATATATAAGCAATTAGGTAATAAAGGTATAATAATAAATGCTGGAAGAATACACTATAATACTGATTACCTAGGGAAGTAAGGAGGGAGAAAGTTGAATTAGGGAGGGAAGTAAAGTGACATTTAGCTCTATCTGCAATCTTTTAATATAATTTTTAAAAAACCCTGAAGCAAACATGACAAATATTTTACATTTGATTATTCTAGGAAGGAAACACACGAATGTATGTTATTCTTGATGTATATGTATTTTTAATTTCCAAAAGAAAAAGTACTGAAGAATTACAAAGAAAATGCACATAATTCAACACTATATAAAGTAAAGCTTGTGTACATCAAAAACTGTGCTATGACTATTTTTAGAAATTATCCTGTTTGCTTTTCTATGTGTTTTTAATTTTTCAAAAATCAAAGGAAAAAAAGCAATGAAGAAATGCAAAAAAAAAAAAAAAAAATCAAACCCATTCCGAATCACATAAAAAGAAAACCCTGCACAAATCACAATGAGCAACTCTATATCATTTGCTGCATTTTCTTATTTTTACTTTTTGTCAAAAGAAAAATAAAAGATGTTGCCTAATTGGAAACGTGACTTTCTATTATTAAAATTGTGGGAGTCCATTTTAATGTGTTTATCTCGCTGCTAGTCTATAATTTCTATTTCAGCGTGGAAATTTGTTTGTATGCCTGTGACAGGTTAATGCAGTTTAAACATGCATTTTTCTTTCGTTGGTTGAATAGTTAAATCGTTACTCAAAGGATTTTAAGTTTCAATTTCAACCATGAGAGGATTCTTTGCTTTTTCAAGGTTAGAAATGTTTCTGGTTCAAAATGCTATTAATTAATGGCTACGTAGTGGATCTGTTTAGGGAATTGGTACCGACTCCGGATTAACAGTGGAACTGCTAAGTGAGAAAACTTCTTTTGATGCACACTTGGGGATATTTTAAATTCGGTCTGACAGCGGTGGACAGAAATGAAATGTAATTCCAGCCCGCTTAACAATCGTAATTATGAATCGAAAGACATATCAGGTATTAGCAATTTTTTTTTCGCTTAAAAAAAAAGTTTCTCGGACTCCGCCGGACACCCAGCTGGCGGACGACCAGCGGGCGCGGCGGGGGGGGCGGGGTGGGGGTGGGGGGGCGCGCGAAGCCGGCAGGCTGCCCAGAAGTTACGATCGGGGAGTTTTCTCTTTATTAAAATTACCTGGCTCACCAGCAGAGGCAAGAAAGCGAAGACAAGATAATTTCTTAGGCTGTTAAAAATGACTTAGCCCGGTGGGCCCCGCGTTCCGAGGGGGTGTCCTGCGGGCCGGGGCGGGTCCCGCCGCCCCCGCGGGCTCCGGTGCGTCAGGGGCGCGTCAGGCGGGGCGGGCTCCGCGCGGGCGGCGGCGGCGGCGGCGCCGGGCGGCGGGCGGCGCGCACCGGGCCTCCTGCTTCTCGCTCCGAGGCTGCGGGACGGACGCTCCCGAGAACTCTCTCGCCCGCGGCCGGCCGCGCTCGGACGGCGCTCGCCGGCGGCCCGGCGGTGCCAGCATGTCCGCCGCCGTGGCGTGCCTGGACTACTTCGCCGCTGAGTGCTTGGTGTCCATGTCCGCGGGCGCCGTGGTTCACCGCCGCGCGCCGGACCCCGAGGGCGCGGGCGGAGCCGCCGGCTCGGAGGTGGGTGCGGCGCCGCCGGAGTCTGCTCTGCCGGGTCCGGGGCCACCGGGACCCGCGTCGGTCCCCCCGCTCCCCCAGGTCCCCGCCCCCAGCCCCGGCGCGGGCGGCGCCGCGCCCCACCTGCTGGCTGCAAGCGTCTTGGCTGACTTGCGCGGCGGCTCTGGGGAGGGCTTCGGGGAGAACTCGGGGGAAGCTCTGCGCGCCTCGTCCGGTTCCTCCGGCCCGACCCGGTGCTCCAGCCCGACCCTGGGCTCAGAGCCGACCCCGGCCTCCAGCGCGGCGGAGATCTCCGGACCCGCGCACTCCTCCGGCGCGCTCGCGGTCCCCGGAGCGCCTGCCGTCCCCGGAGCGCCTGCCGTCCCCGGGGTGGTCCCCGGCGAGGCCCCTGGGGCCTGCCCCGCCCCCACCACAGGTCCAGTGCCCCGTCGGAGGCCGGTGACACCTGCTGCCAAGCGCCATCGCTGCCCCTTTCCGGGCTGCAACAAAGCCTATTACAAGTCGTCACATCTGAAGTCCCACCAGCGCACCCACACGGGTGAGCGCCCTTTCTCCTGCGACTGGCTCGACTGCGACAAGAAGTTCACGCGCTCCGACGAGCTGGCCCGCCACTACAGGACGCACACGGGCGAGAAGCGCTTCTCCTGCCCCCTCTGCCCCAAGCAGTTCTCCCGGAGCGACCATCTGACCAAGCACGCTCGCCGCCACCCAGCCTATCATCCCGACATGATCGAGTACCGCGGGCGCCGTCGCACTCCCCGCGTCGACTCGCAACCCACCGGCATGGTGGACAGCTCCAGCTCCGTCCCCGGCCAGGCGCCCAGCCTCACCACCTGCCTGTCTGACAGTCATTGCTGTTAATCGTCCCAGCAAGGACGAGCCCCCAGGCCGTTGTCCCTGCCTTTTCTTTGCCCATCCCTCTTTTCCCAGAGTCATTAGACCAAGGCACAAGACTGGTTCCTCCGCTTCGAGGGTCGGTCCAGGCAGGCACGTTGGACCCTGGGGAGGGACTGGGGGCCCGAAAATAGCAGGAATTCTTACAACACGTGTATCAACCTAAAGAGGAGGGTTGCCTCAAGACAGCCCCCTGGAACTGGTGAGAAGGGATGAACCCCGGTACTCTCCAGAGTCCTGAAGATTCTCCCTTCCCTGGAACCAGAGATGTGAAACTGGAATTCTCAGGTGCCTGAGGAGCTCCCAGTCTCAAAGGACTCTGTGTCTTACCCACCCACCAGGGCGGACCTTGGCGAGGGTATCAGGGGTGGCAGTCTTGGAAATGTCCACGACTGGGATGGTGAGAGGCCTTTGGAAACAGAAATGATTTCTATTTCTGTAAATAGCAATGTTTACTAATTTATTTTTAGTATCTTTTAAACAGGGATCCCAGGTTGATGGGAGGTTGATGTCCTCCACTCCCCAATTGCCCCAGCTACCTCTGCTAGGAGAGGCCATGTAAGAGTCCATGTGAATGTATGGCTGGGAGATACTTCTTGGTGTCTGGGGAACGGTGTGAGTCTGTTTGCAGGTCCTGTTGCATGGTTTGGAACCCTGCCCTTGCATCCCTCCGTCCCTCCGTCCCTCCGTCGCCTTTTTCCCATTTGGATTCCTACTTGGGGAGGGGAACTTCCTGGCTCACTCTCACAGTGAGATTGGTTTTTAAAAATTTGGAAACAACCATAAAAACACCAGAAATAGAAGAGTGGTCTGGGCCAGTTCTCCTTTCACCCTCTGGTGACTTTGGGTGAGATAGGTCCAAAACAAGACCTTTCAGGATCATTGTTAACATTCAGGGAAATAGGGGCATGTGGTTCCAGCTGCCCAGTCCAAGTAATCTCAGGTGTGGTAGATTCTGTTCATTTCTTAGTGGCCAATGAGGGGCTTATTTCCCTTGGGAACTGTGCATTTTTGTTTTTGCAGCAAATGAGTTAATCGCTTGGGGAGGGGAAGATGAGAGTGGCTTTCTCCAAAGATCTGGTTGCCCTGGATTTGGGGAAGGAATAGCAAGGTGAAAATTTTTATCAAATAAGAGGACCCTTCTCCCTTTGCCTTGAAGTCCCTCCAAGTTACACCCTCAGGACCCCTCTGCCCCTAATGCAGGAATCAAGCATCAGCAGTATTTATTTTTCTATGTGTATCTCTGCTGCTATGAATGAAGTTGTCGGCCACTCTGCTTATGTGTGTGTGAATGTGTATACATGTGACCCTTTTATGAGAGGTGGGGCTGAAAGGAATTTCCTGCTCCTGGTAAGGTCCCTGTGGCCCCCTCCTGAATGTCTTGTAATAGTCCATCCATCCCATTTGTGGAAGGTGCCATAATCTCAAAGGACTGCAACAGGCATCTCGGTAAACAAACTGCTTCCCCCTGTTTTGCAGATGAAGACACCGAAGCCTAGATAAGTTTAAAGTCTCATGCTGAGTTGCTGGCAAAAGCCAGGACTAGAACTTAGATATCTGGCTTTCTAAGTGACTCTTTCCCTCAGGCTTAGTTACCTCACCTCCTCTCTCTCTCTGGGCCCTTAGTCAAAGGACACCACTCTCCCTTCCTGCCACCAGTATCCCCTCCCTCCCTAATCCCTATCACTTCTAAGTTCCTTAGAATGTCCAGTTCCTGCTGAACACTTGGCCTGTTGTGTTTAACCCCAAAACCGTTTTCCTAGCAGGTTGAGTCCATTCCCCCCTTCCACACCATGTGGACCTACAATGGGAATGACTGTTTGACATTTGGGAAGAGACTTTATCTTTTGACCTGGTAGATTAATTTTCAGTGCCAATTTTATTCTTCCTCTGGTCCTGGGCATTCTGTTTTCCTTGAGAGAGTGAGTGATACAACTTGACATTGGGCCTCGGTGCTCCTGCACTAAGTGAGGGAAAGATCCTTAAGAAGGACCCAAAGGGTATGCCCTATGACTTTGAAGAGGTCAACGTTTCCTGATGCAGACTAAGCAGACTGGGTGGGGCTCTTTTGGAGTTACATATGGGAAGAGGAGGTTCCCAATTGTGGAGGTGGGCTTTGATGGTGAGAAGGGTCCTCCCTTTGCTCTGTTTGTCTCCTCAGCTGGGACTGGATGGGAAGGGCGCTCTGGGCCCCCTTGAGGATTGCCATTTCCCCTTTGTCTCCTTCAATAGAAGATCTGCCATTGAGTAGATGAACAACGAAGCTAACAGGAGAGAGACTCCCACTGACTGTTCTGGAATTGGGCTCAAGAATGCTTGGCTTTTCCAACCACCCTTTGATAAATAACTTTTGATTCTCAAGCTTCTAAGCAGTGTCCTTATTTGGGTTCTTCGACCTGGGGGACTTTTGTCTGGGGATGGTCTCTGACAATCTAAGTGTGGCATGTCTTCCAATGACAACTCCTAGGACTTGGGATGGTGGGGAGGGGGACACTCAAAACACTTAAAGTAGCCAGATAATGGAGGCAAGATTTATAGGCTAGTCTTTTTTTTTTTTTTTTAAGATTTTATTTGTTTATTGGGGGGGGGAGGAGGGAGGGAAGCACAAGCAGAGGGAGGGGCAGAGGGAGAAGCAGGCTCCCCACTGAGCAAGGAAAAGGGGGAGAGCACAAGCAGGGGGAGGGCAGAGAGAGAAGTAGGCTCCCCACTGAGCAAGGAAGGGGGGAGAGCACAGGCAGGGGGAGGGGCAGAAGGAGAAGCAGCCTCCCCACTGAGCAAGAACCCAATGTGGGACTTGAGCCCAGGACCCTGGGATCATGACCTGAGCTGAAGGCAGACGCTTAATGGACTGAGCCACCCAGGCATCCCATAGGCTAGTCTTTCTTAGTCTTGGGTATTGTTGTTACCCTTTCACTCCAGCAGCCAGACAGCTCTTGAAAAACAATTATGAGTGAAATGTCTTCGAAGGGGCTTCCTAGTTGTTTTTTTTTTTTTTGAAGATTTTATTTATTTATTCACGAGGGACACAGAGAGAGAGGCAGAGGGAGAAGCAGGCTCCCAGGGAGCAGAGAGCCCGTTGTGGGACTCGATCCCAGGACCCTGGGATCATGACCTGAGCTGAAGGCACACGCTTAACCATCTGAGCCACCCAGGCGCCCGGGGCTTCCTAGTTTTATTGATGTTTCTTTTGCTTCTTTTTGTTAAACAGATGGAGCTCAATTAGTGAATGAGTCTGGGGATTAGTTGGGGTCAGCCTGAACCTCTGGGTCCTTCCCCACCCAGGCCATCCTGAGTTGTGATGTAGGAATGACCGAATCTATTAACAGAATCTACTGCTAGAACTCTTTCTAAATTCTGGGTTGGAAGCTGGGAATGAATTCCAGGTTAGATCTTGGGTGCGAGGGAATTGGATCCCCAGTCTCTGCTGGGAGGGTATAAAGAGTCCAGGACTTGCCCCTATCCACAGGGACAAGAATCTGTCATTTGTCCCTATTTCCCTGTTCTCCAAGTAGGGAACCATACTGGGATACTACTCTTGGCCTGACTCTACCTCTTATTCACTTTTCCCCAAAGAAAGGTTGTGTTCTCTGATGGAGACACAGGGAAGAGGGTCATTGTACACACACACACACACACGGATGCACATGCACAGACACACAAACGCATGCACACATGCATGTTCTAAGCTCTCTTCTTTCTATTGTACCTTTTTGCCAGCAATGTGTATGCAGTCCATTCAGATCTAGCCTTCACCTAATAAGCACACCTGCTGAGGCTCAGACCTGCCTTCCAGAGGCAGGTCTGAAGAGCACCTCTCTCTGTTTCCACTTTTGGAGCAGCCATGGCCCCTTGCAGCACTCCAGGTAAGTCTTGCCTTTGTATATTCTCCTTTGGGTGGGTAATCCCACTATCAGGAATTGGGAGTGATGAGACAGGCAAATGGTATTAGAAAGCCCAATTCTGGCCATAGATACAGCTTCATCAATAAAATGTTGATATTTTGATCTTCATTAGTCTGATTCCTAATCTATTACCCAGGTGGTTGAGAACTTAGAAGGGAAAGGATAAGATTAATTTTCTCCCTTAAGCCCCAACACATGCAAATATGCTTTGGCTGTATATCTTGAGAAATAGGCATTCTGATAGGAATTAGGGAACCAAAATAAGACGTGTAGAGATGGGACGTCTGGTGTGCCAGGGCACAGGTCTTTGGCACGTTAGTGATCTTGGACCATTCAGTTCTTTGGCCTTTTCAAGTCTTAGCAGCTTATAGTAACTAGCTTCCATACCCAAGCTACTTTTTTAGCGGTAACTGGACTGGTATGTTGACTTTGCAAAAGTAGGCTGCACAGGCCACTGTGGCTGATCTTGATTCATATAGATAGAGTTGAGATAGGCTTGCTGCAGAAGGGAGAAACACTTTTTTTTTTTTAGGAGAGAAAGGAGAATCCTGAAGGAGAATCCTGAAGCGGACTCCGCACTGAGCATGGAGCCTGAGGGGCTTGATCCTAGGACCTTGAGTTCATGACCTGAGCCAAAATCAAGAGTCAGACACTTAACCGACTGAGCCACCCAGGCGCCCCAGAGAAGCACTATTAACTGGAACAATTTGTGCTGCCTTTATTGTCCGCCAGAATTGTAGAAGAAGACTTTAAGGTGAATGGCACAAGTTCTGTTTGAACTTCAAAACACAAGTTTAGCAGATTTTGTCCCCAAAACTGTGCTGGGGATTAGCAGGTGGCATTAGATCAGTTTCACCCAATTTGGTTCCCTTTTATCCTTTCTTTTTTTTTTTAAGGTTTTTATTTATTTATTTATAATAAAGAGGGGCAGAGTGGGGAGAGAGACGCAGACTCCCTGGAGAAGGGCAGAGAGGGGAGGGAGAAGCAGACTCCCTGCTGAGCAGGGAGCCCCACACAGAACTCCATCGCAGGAACAGGCTTCCTGTTCCCTGTTATCTTGATTTAAATTGCATCCTTTGTAGGACCAGGGAGAGACCTATGGGAGGGGCCAAGGTCTTTATTTCATAGGGGGTATCCAGAGTCACAGTCTATTTTTGTCCCAAGTTAGTGCCAGGTATGTTGACTATATAAGCCCTGGCAGTGAAATTTCAGGGACTCAATCTGTGTTTTATTATCACAGAGGGATGGTGGATTTTAATCATAAATATAAAAAAGAGGACGGGCGCCTGGGTGGCTCCGTCGTTAAGCGTCTGACTTTGGCTCAGGTCATGATCCCAGGGTCCTGGGGTCGAGCCCCACATCAGGCTCCCTGCTCAGCAGGAGGCCTGCTTCTCCCTCTCCCACTCCCCCTGCTTGTGTTCCCTCTCTTGCTGTGTCTCTCTGTGTCAAATAATAAAATCTTTAAAATCTTTATATATATAAAAGAGGATGCAAATGTTTGTTATATATGGGCTTGGGGTAGAGAGAAGCCATGCCATTATAACCCCCAAAAATAGGAAGAGTATTTTTAAATAGTGTGCCTGGATTCTTCTTTCCTTAGGAATCAAGCCTTTTGAGGAAATAAAGTAGGAATCATATTTGTTTCAAATATGTTTAGATCTTGAAGTCAAAATGGAAGAGTGGGAGGGTGAAAAATGAATAAAGACAGGTAGATTGAACTGGAGGAAGGGAAGGATTTCTTTAGAAGAATGGTTGTGGGGGCACTTGGGTGGCTCAGTCAGTTAAGTGTCTGCCTTCTGCTCGGGTCATGATCCCAGAGTCCTGGGATCAAGCCCAGGGTCGGGCTCCCTGCTCGCAGGAAGTCTGCTTCTCCCTCTCCCTCTGCCCCGCCCCCCTGCTCATGCACGTTCTCGCTTTCTCTCTCTCTCTCTCTAATAAATAAAATTTTTAAAAATAGAGGAAGAAAGGTTATGTTCTTAGAGGATAGAATTGGACAGTACAAATGGAAAATAAAAAAAGGTCAGAAGCCAACCAATATTAAAGATAAGACTATAAAAGAGTGTGGTAGTTTAGTCATTACTAGGTTAGAGGAGGTGACTGAAATCCAGTGAGATATAATAGAAGAAGATGAGCTCTCAGAGAAAACAAGAATGCCTACTTCTGCCAGGGATCTCAGATCCAAGAGAATATTGAGAGGTACCTACCTAAATCTGTAAACCATTAGAAAAATCATCCTTTTTAACACTGAGATAGGTTGGATACAGAATACGTAGACAATACTTCCAACTTTTTTGGTTAGTCTCAGGGCTATCACCATTGAAATGGAATAGGAATACTCGGGATGTCTGAGTGGCTCAGTTGGTTGAGTGTAGAACTCTTGATTTCGACTCAGGTTGTGATGTCAGGGTCCTGGGATCTACCGCTGAGTCAGGCTCTGTGCTCAGCGTGGAGTCTGTTTGTCCCTCTCCCTCTGCTCCTTTCTCTCTCTCTCTCTCAAATAAATTTTAAAAAATGGAATAGGAATACAAATATGGCTCAGAGAACATAAAGAGTTAAGTCTCTAAGGGAAAGCATAGGGTAGAAGAAACACATGTAATATATCAAAGTTCTTAATAGAAATCAGGGAGAAATAAGCATGATCATCTCATTTGATTCCAAAATAAGTATTTGTGAAAACTCAACACCAATTTGTGATTTAATTTGAAAACACCTTGACAAACTAGTAACAAAAAAGATAATTTCTTAAATTAATAAAGAGTATCCATCAAAAGCCTACAGTAAACATCAAACTTAGTGTTGAAAGATTACAGACACTTCTATTGACCGTATAGTGAGATCAATAGTCTTAAAAACTCCAGGCAGGGGGCGCCTGGGTGGCTCAGTCGTTGGGCGTCTGTCTTCAGCTCAGGTCATGGTCCCGGGGCCCTGGGATCAAGCCCCGCATCGGGCTCCCTGCTCCACGGGAGACCTGCTTCTCCCTCTCCCACTCCCCCTGCTTGTGTTCCCTCTCTCGCTGTCTCTGTCAAATAAATAAAATCCTTAAAAAAACCAAAAAACTCCAGGCAGGTAATCACATAAAAATACAACAAAAATATAACCCAAACTCATGCATTGGAAAATGTAAAAGCAAACCTCTACATGACTCAGACAACAGGGACAATTACAAAATTTAGACCTGAATGAAAGCCAGAAGCACTGCATAGCAAAACTTCTGTGATGCAAGAAAACAGCTGGGGGAAGAAATGTTCTTTATAGCCTTAAATTGTTTACCAAAAAAAAAAAAAAGAGAGAGAAAGAAATATTGAAAGTGAATGAACTAAGCTTTCATCTCCAAAAAAGAAAAACCCAAAGAAAGTAGAAAAAGACATTACCACGGACCATGCATTCTCAGTATGGAAGATACTGCCCCCAAGGTAAGAAAAATTGATTCTGGAGGGGTCAAAACATGTTCGATATTACAATGATTTTGGCCCTTCAAAAGGCCATACGACATAAACAGATACACACTATATAGGTGGTTTAGGATTTGGAGAGGAGGTGATCATTAGGAAAAAAATGTCTTGAAAGTCTCCTAGAGGGTAATAATGAAAAAAAGTTTGAAAGACACTACCATAGATAAAAGCAGAACTTAGTGAAACAGGAGGAAAAAAATGAGTGCAGTTGAGCAAAACTTTTAAAAGCCTAATAAAAATAAGATTTCTTTGGCAAGTATGATTAAGAAAAAAGAGAGAAGGGGCGCCTGGGTGGCTCAGTCGGTTAAGCGTCTGCCTTCAGCTCAGGTCATGAACCCAGAGTCCTGGGATCGAGCCCCGCATCGGGCTCCCGGCTCGGCGGGAAGCCTGCTTCTCCCTCTCCCACTCCCCCTGCTTGTGTTCCCTCTCTCGCTGTGTCTCTCTGTCTAATAAATAAATAAAATCTTAAAAAAAAAAAAAAAGAGAGAAGCCAAAAAAAAAAGTTATCAGGAATAAAAAAAATGTAAAATCATGGTAACACATGAGCAGGTTTTAAAAACCATAACAGAGGGCGCCTGGGTGGCTCAGTTGGTTAAGCGACTGCCTTCAGCTCAGGTCATGATCCTGGAGTCCCGGGATCGAGTCCCGCATCGGGCTACCTGCTTGGCAGGGAGTCTGCTTCTCCCTCTGACCCTCCTCCCTCTCATGCTCTCTGTCTCTCATTCTCTCTCTCTCTCAAATAAATAAAATCTTTAAAAAAAAATCATAACAGAATAACACAAACAACTTTATATCAATAGAGTTAAAAATATGGATAACTTTATAGGAAAATAGAAAATTTTAAGATAGTCTAAGAAAAAGTAGAAAAATTGGAAATTGAAATGGCAAAGATGTATTCTCCAAAATGGCATTAGGTCTAGGTGGTTGTATAGGCAAATTCTCTAAATTTTCAAGAAACAGATAATCTCTATCTTTAATAAATTGTTCCAAATCATAGAAAAAAGATAAAAAATTATCCAATTTACTTTATAAGATATAGTTAAGCTAACTAATAGCAAAACAAGACAAGTAAAAGACCAAAAAAACAAACAAACAAAAAAACCCTAACCACTTTTATCTATAAAGATGGGTACAAAAATCCTGAGTAAAATATTAGAAATTCTAATTCAGCAGTGAATGAAAAAATAATGCATTATGATCATATGAAATTTACCTAAAATGTAATATTAATTCAATAATAGAGATCTATCAATATAATACACTTGATTGAAGAAAGGAGAAAAATCAATGCCTTTCTTATATGCCAACAGTCATCAATCAGAAAATGTAATAGACTAAGTGATATTGTATACAGTAGCAATTAATAACATAAAGAACCTTTATAGGTAAGATTATAAACTTTTACTGAATGACATAAAAGAAAATATGACAAAGTGGAGATAAATACTGTATCTGTGGATGGTAAAACTCAGTACTATAAAGATGTCAGTCTTTTTCTCAAATCTATATACTTAATTCAATTCCAATCAAAACCCCAAAAAGATTTCTCATGAAACTTTTTCAAGGAAATATTACAGTAGATTGTGGGGGGTGGGGAGAAAGGGAGGAAGAATTGCTTTACAGATATCAAAATATTACAAAGCTGTGGACATTAAAACAGTGTGATATTGTGCGGGAACAGACAAATGGGTAAGTGGAATTGCATTCCACAGATCTATCAGAAATAGATTTGTGAATGTAGAAGAGTTTGGCATATGAGAGATGGCACTTCACATCAGTGGAGAAAAGACAGACTAGTTTGTTAATGCTATTGAGATAACTGGCTTTTCATGACAAAATAACAAAACACGAAATTACTTTCTATCTCAAATCTTTCAGAAAAATAAATTTCAGATGGTAAATATCTGAACATTTTTAAGCCATAAAAAGTATTAGTAAGAAAAAAAACCTAGGAACTATCATATTGGATAAGGAAGACTTTCTTACTAAGGACACAAAAAAATTTTTTTAAAGATTTTATTTATTTGAGAGAGAGCACATGAGCAGTGGGAGAGGAAGAGGGAGAAGCAGACTCTCCTGCTGAGCTGGGAGCCCCATGCAGGGCTCTATCCCAGGACCCCGGGATCATGACCTGAGCCAAAGGCAGATGCTTAACTGACTGAGACACCCAGGTGTCCCAGGACACAAAAATTTTTTAAATAAAAATTCAAGGAGGGAAAAGACAGATATAACTGCAAAAAAATTCTAAGACGTTTTATATCTGAAAACCTACACAAAGTTAAAGATCAAGCTACACTCTGAA